CTGCTTTTGCTCAAGTCATAGGCAAAATATCTGTTAATACATAGGGATAAACACTAAATGATTTAGAATAAAAGGTCTTTTTAACATAAATTGTCTCACTGCTTCTTTAGAAGTGGTCATTTTGTGGCAACCTTGAGGGCTTAATGTACATATGAGCTCCAACATAGTTTCCATATAAAAATGGTAGTTATTTTCATGTAGTTCTCTTCAGAGATCAATGTTTAACTTCTAGATGAACCAAATCTCATTATTATGAGAATCCCTTCCCTCTTGGAAGAGTCCTGTTTGAAAGGAGCTGTCTTAGGCTGGGTATGGGTTCAGTCTTTTCACTGTGAAGATTAAAATCTTTCACTTGACTTACACATTTTTTTTATTACTTACAAGGTGAGGTTTTAGAAATATGCTGCTCTTGGTCATTTCAGTGGGATATAGTGACAAAGATGGATGCTGTATATGTGGATTTATCCCTGTGAGCCTTTCCAGTCCAGCAAAAACAGCTCCAGGGCTTTGCTGCAGGGCGTGGTTAGGCCAGTACTGTTTTGACAGTGGTACCAGCTGAAGTTGTTGTCACTATTATATTGGCGTGAGCTTTTTAAATGATGATGTGGTGAACCAGATTGGAAAAATTAGCTGGTTATTTTTCAGCTGGACCACTTCACTGCTGAAGCACTTTTAGGATGGCATAATAAATGGGGCAGTAGGGGGGTAGAAGCAAGTGGTTTGTGGGAGAGGATGAACCAGACAACTACTTAAGTAATATTGCTGCCAAAAGTTGAATACAGTTGAATTATAATTTGAATATTTTTTTTTGGAGGGGTGGGGGGAGGTGAGGAATTGTCTTGTAGATCTTAGAGTAGCTTCAGTGTCTATTTGAGGAATAATATTAAAGTTGCTCTCTTGATCTTTCAAAGTATAGAAATAAGGACATGTAAAAGACTGAATACCATAAAAAAGCAACCCAGATTGCTTTCTTGTACTGGACATTTTGTGAGGATAGCTACCCACACTATTTTGTGCTCACTTTGTATCTGTTGTATTCTGGGCAGAAAGCCAAGTATAAAGGAGTACATTGAACAGATAGATACAGACCTATGCCAGCATAGTACCTTGAGGCACTGAGCTGTAGTTCCAAATTTATTTGATTCCAGTTATGGTGAAATATTTAAGGCAATGTATTATGTCAACTAAGACTTGAGTTTTGTATGTTATACAAAGAGAATTTTTTTTCCATTTGATTTTTCTTCCCTTAGGTCTTGGTGAAGGACCTTATATTTTAGCAAGTTATGGAGTGAATGACACAATTATAGGAGCTAACATATCCAGTAAAAGGATATTTCCCCTGCCTAGAACTGGAGCATATGGAAATGTATTTTTCAGTTTCATGATAACTCCAGGTCTTTTCAAAGATAAAGATTTATGTAAGTGTTCTCAACAATTTTGCTAATGGCAATACACTATGAATGATTTTTGCTGCATCTTCTAAATTTCCTAAAATAGTCTAGATATTTTAAGTTATTGGAATAAGTGAGGGTGAAGTTGCCAATTTCAAAACTGAGGAGGAATACTGATTTTTCAACTTAAAAAAAAAAAAAAATAAAAAAATTGAAAACCTCACCAGCAGCTTTAAAGCTGACTTTTCAAAGATTGTTTTAGAAATATTGCAAAATCAAAGTGACTAGAATTCCTTTATGAAAAAAAACTTACGTTTTATAACTGGAAATTTTTGCATATGTGTCTAGCAGGTATCAACACTGAAGGTGAATGAATGCAGGATGTTTTTGTCTCTGGTAAAATCACTTCTTTTTTGTGACTTTCAGTGGACTATAAAATGTGCAACTTGGAACAACCAGTCTGTCTCCTGCATTATTAGTGAGCAGCACCTTCATACAACATAGAAGGAAGTTGCTTAGGTGAACCGATATTCCTAAACTCTGTTTTTCACTTATCAGAGCCTGATCCAAACTATACAACCAAAAATAAATATGTTTAAATATTTTTTTCTTCTGTATATATTTTCTTTTCTTCACGTGCTTTGGATCAATTGACCAATTAAGTCAATACAAATTTTGTCATTGCTTTCTCACAGAATTTAATTTGTTGAAAAAAGTCCAAATGCTCAAAAATCAACATAGAGAAGGGCTGTCTTCACAGTAAAATTTGAAACTATATTCACATACAGTTGACAGTTTTACAGTGGAAAAAATAAGGTTTTAGATATGATTTTGAAATGAGAAAGCACAGAGAACAGAAGAATTAATTCTCCAGCTCATGTAAAGTGGAATTAAAACATTCATTATATCTGTGCAGTACACAGGTAGTTTTCATATTTGTGAAGAATGAGGTAGTATTAATCTAGATGAAAGACACTTCAAGATTTTATTCAAGTCAAAAATCAAATTTGAAATCAGTCTTCTAAGTTCTTAAATTTTCAGAGTTTTCTTCACTTTTGATTTCTTGCATGGGTAGAGCAAATAGAGAGTAAAGTCTTATTTGGCTACAGGTTTTTTTGCTGTATTGCTGTATTGTATTGTATGTAAAAAAAACCCTTGACCTCAAGGTGAAGTCAAGCATGTTCTTACAATATTTGTGTGATGTTATTTACTAATGAAATTTTGGTACAGCTGAACTGTCAGGCATTTGTCCAAATTTGAGAAAAAACTCCCAATTTTGAGCAAGTGCCTATTTGAGACTGCTTATGAATCACTTACTTAGAAAGATGGTAGCAGTATGCTGAATGTAGTTTTTATCTAACTGATTAGCTCTCTGGTGTCTCTGAATTACGTGATCATTTGAAGTCTGCTTTAGACATTGCATTTCTAACTTTTTTTTGCATTACACAAAATTAACAGCCAATATATAGATTTTAATCTCACTTTTGAGTTGTTTTCTGTGAAAATCTTACTATTATATTTTTTTTTCTTCTTTGAAAGCTCTCTCTCTTGTTTCCCTTGAATCTGCTGAAAGACCAAACTACTTTCTGTATGTACATGACAATGAAACTGTTGGGTTGGAACAGTGGCAGGCAAGTGCCTTCTTTTGGAGACGAGCCACCTTTTTCCACCACCAGGACCTTTGGAGTCCAGGGCTCAGTGCCTTCGAACTGCACAGTAAAAAAGGCTTTTTCATTGTTCTCACCTCATCCGGTGTTAAAGTGGCAAAATATGATGATTCAGAAGAATTCAAACGTTTGAGTAGCTTTAGTATTGAAGGTAAATTTTACACAATCTCCAAGGATAAGTATGTTTTTTTCTGCTTGCCTTCAGATCATTTGTCTCTCATCAGCAATAGTAACAAATATATTTTATCCTATTTTTAATTACTATTCTGTCTTTGTTTTCCATTCTGACTCCAAATGCTATTATATTCTATTTTTTTGCAAATAAGCTGATAATTTTATCTTTAAACTACATTTTCATTGTTTTTCTCTTTAAAAATGAAAGTGGCATGTCACAAAATGATGCATGTTTATGTCTTGTAGTGAGCTATAGATATCTATTCTTTTGAATGAATGGGGTAACTGTATTGCTTCTGCAACTAACAGTACCTTCACTATGTTTAAATGATTTTAAGGGTTTATAAAAAGAATATATTGTAAAAGTGAGTACCATTTTCTATCTTTGACACTTCAGCCTAGCTTGATTGAAATTAAAATAGTTGAAACTGAAAATGAACAAAATCTCACCTATTTTAAAGCTCTCAAGAATTTCTCTACTTGTTTTTAATTTTTTAGTTTTTCTGACAGTCCCAATGTTCATTAGAGAAAAGACTATAAACTTATAGTTTATTGACTACACAATCAATAAATAATACCCTTTCCTTCTTTCTAAGAACTCAGTGCATCTGTGCCGTATAGAAGGATGTGTGAATGGCGATATGAATCTTGTGCTAATCCTTGTGTTAAAACATGTAGTGATCCTGAAGGGATAGCATGTAAATTCCTTCCTCTGTAAGTAAAATTAAGCTCATATTACTACTGTATTTTTTTTTGTAATATGTGTACCATAAGCTTTCTGAAAATTAGTGCAGCTGGAATATCCCTTCATTTTTACTCATCCAGATTTCAGTATCACTCTTGTGAGCAACTCTCACAAGTTCTGTGAAAACAATTGTAACAAGCCACTCATTTCCCACTGTATATATTCCTGCTTACAAGTGATCTTTAAACACAAAAATAAGAGGGTTTGTATTTAGCTCAGGGAATTACCTTCTGGTAGTGGGTAAGTAGAACTCTATTAAATTAAATTAAGGCTATTCCCTTCTATGAATTTGTATTCACATCCTAAACCAGCACCCCATGATGCTGTAAATGGCTACATCTTTCTGGTGTTTCTATGACAGAGATAAAAAACTGTAGGAATAGTAAGGATGGACTACGCCCTCTTCTGTAAGAGGAAGGAACTCTATACTAAAAGATGCTCCCTGTCATGACCTGAGGGATTTCACACAGCGGATGTTATGTTGTTACTTCGTAACAAGATTTCTGGTCTACAGGGATTTCCCCTGGCATCTATGGAACCACAACAAACTAAAAGGAAAAATGCCTAAAACCTCTACGCACAAAATCTGGTGGAAAAGAAATGGTATTTTGAATTTCAGACTATCTCCCTAGGCATATGCAGTTTATGATTGGGAATTTTACTAATATTACTAATTTTCTCTGGTTTTAGCTTTTTCCATACAGGTGCAATGGTTGTTAATGTCATGATTTTCTTATTAAAATCCCCCAACAATAAAAAAGTAAGGGAATATATGGACTTGTCTGCACTCTCCTATGCTCAAAGTACACAAGAATGAGACTTGCTATAGAGTTAGTCTAAGTATTTTAATGTCTTGAATGAACATATCTGCTTAAAACAGTGGTCTCGTAGAGAATTTCTTCATCCTATAGAAAACCTTTCTGCTTAGGGGTCTGAACTTCCACCTGGTTCTGGAAGCAGAATGGTCTGAATTTATCATGTTCATCAGCCTATGCAAAGAATTTATTATTAATAATTTAGAAACAGAATTGTGCTGTTCAATGTATTTTTTACCTTAAAATGCTTCAAAATGCTGTGTTCACCATTACACAGGAAAGTTGTCAGAACTCTGATGGGGAAGACATTAAAATGTTTCATTTTGCCAAAGTAAAAGAAATTAAAATTAATTTATTAATTAATTATACAATATTTTAAAGGGTTGAAGGATGCTTGCCATACTGTCCCAAAAACATGATCCTTGATGAGGTCACACTTAAATGTGTTTATCCGGAAGACTGTAAGTATATTTTATTATATTGGTCTAATCTCATAAATTACTTTAGAGACCCCAGGAAAGATTTTAATCAAATCTACATTGTTGCTTTTTTATTAAACTCTTTATCAGAACATCTTTCTGTTGAAGAATGTCTCTTTGGAACATAGACCCCATTACCAGTCATCCAAATTACATGTCCTACATCCAAACAAGTCATATCAAAAGTTGAATTCTTTAATTTCTCTAATAGTGTGTTAAAGTTAACCTTTTGTGATGATGGTATACTCATCACAACTATATTTGACTTGATAATGTTAGTATATCATATGTATATAAGAGCAGGATCCCAAATGTCAGAAATACTGCTGTGGTGAAAAGTTTAGACTTCTCAGCTGATGAGCCACCACTAACAAATTCAGTGCACCTACTTCATAACTTCTGGTGTATGTAGATACCACATTATTTGCTTATTTTTGGTATACAGTATTTTTTAACAGATTATATTTTAATAGTAACTTATTTTATTTTACAGGTTTTGAATTAAATACATTGTGCTTGATATTTGCTAGTACGAAGTTATCTCATACAGTATACTACTTTATTTATTCCAAATATTTTACTATTTTGCATTGACTGAATTTTCCATGGAATTACCTTGTTGCTTCAAAACTGCTCTCCAAAATCAAGGTTTTCACTAATAATTAAAAAATAGTTACTTCATTTGCAAAGAAAATTAGAAAACTTGAGTCAACTGAGTTCCTCAAAGTCTTGAGGCAACCTGGAACCATTGATAAGTCATCTTCTTAGCAAAATGATGTTCCTATTTGCTAATATTTAAGTAGGGTTTGAGTAGAGATGAATGTTTCTATTTTGTTTTACCAATAATCCATAAAAGACAGTGAAATATGCATTTTTCCTTTCAGGCATACCTGTGACGCCTACAGAATCAGCAACTGGAACAAAACCTTCGTTGTTAATCTCTCACATGGGTGCTACCATGGAGAAATTTCCTCAGACGCCTCCTTTATTTATTACTTCAGGGACTAACTCAACTCATACTGGTGCGCCAAACAAAATAATCATGAAGGCAAACACAACTTTAAGGGGAATGAATATGTCAGCACAGTCCATTACAGACTTTTATTCACTGGAAGCATCTAACGCAGCCACCTATTCAATATTTTCAATGCCAAGTACAGTGAAGCCTTCTGATGTACTTCACAGCACAGCCAGCCCTATTATCCTTTCCAAACTCATCTCTTCAACAGATTTTCCAAATGCTCTTCAAGCCTCAGCAGTCACATCACATACTGCATCTATAACTTTACACATTACAATAGCAACTCCAACAACCCTTCACAGTGCAAGTCCTATTCTAACATGTTCTACATTACTAATACCCACTTCCCTAGTGGTTGTTCCATTTCCACTTGAAACATTGTCTACTCAGCTAGGAACTGTTCCCCCTACCTCTGCATTAACAACTTTAACCTCCAAGCCATCTTTTGTCACTTCTGAGCTGCCTGCAGGGATTGGGAAGAGTAGAAGTCCTTCAGTAAGTCATACTAAGGGAGCAACAGTATCCTCTGAAGTGTCTTTGTCTGCTTTGCTGGCTGGCAGAGCAACTTTCACAAGACCTGTATTTCTTCTAGGTTCACAGCTGACACTAAGCACATCTACTTCTCCTATATCTACTTTGTCTGTTAGAAATAGGTCTGGCATTGGTCAAACAGTAGTTTACCCAACACCCATTTTTGCACTGACTTCAGCTGCTCCTCACATTCCTGTGACTGCTAGATTTGCTAGCTTTGAGAAATATTTTCCCTAATTAATCACAATTCCATATTTTGAAGCAGCAAAACCCTTGTCTAAAACTTCTCTGATATCATTAAATGCAAGTTCTTTAACTAGTTTTTATCCAAAGCCATTTTTATCTTCAGTGGAAATTTCAGAGACTGTTCCCAAGCAGACATCTCCATTAATAAAAGGCAGTATTTCTGCTGCTCTTCCCTTGACTGTATTTTCACCCCAAGTTGCTTCCCAAATCCCTATAAACACTTCTTCAAGTCCTTCTGTAACATACAGAGTATTTATACCAATGCATTCTCTGATTACCTCCCTGAAACCCAAAGCTATGCCAGATGTCACTGTTGCCTCCAAAAGTCTTTATAAAGTACCTTCTACTGCTTCCACTCTTCTAGTCAATCCAACAATCTCTGATATGTCTATCACAAGTAAAGTCTCAACAATAAATACATAATGTACACTGATTCCTTTTCAGTGTCATCCGTTTCTAAAAAGCCAATGAAATCCATTATGTCTACAGTTTTCCCTCTTAGGACATTGGTATTACCTCTAAATGCTACATTAATAACTACTTCAGAAATTACTGAGTACCCAGGCAGTTCACATGTGGCCCAAAGTTCAAGCAGTTTAATTCCTAGAGATCCTTCTCTTACAATGTTATAATCTTTATTTACAATCTTGTTATCAACATCAATGCCATCTTATGTTACATCTCATACTACAAGTGCTTCATTGATTCCTATACTCAGGAGGGCACCATAATTAACACAAAATATAACTACTACCCAAACATCTGTTTCATCTCTAGATACACAAGGAACCTTTAAAAGTCCAGTTATAGACTTTGCAACTTTTTTGGTAGAGTTTTCTATATTCACTTTAAACATAAGCCCTTCTGTCAGCCTTTCAGCGACATTAAAAACATCCATTCTAATGCCCTCTTTACTAATATCTACAACTCCTGAAGCCACTTTAGAAAGCCAGTCCAGTAGGGTCTCTGTGTCTTCACCTCCTCCTAAGACCACTCATATCTCTGCTGTTTCTCTAGGAAAACAGAGTTCTTGGGTAAGTTCTTCAGAAGAAGATGGAACGTTATCAGCCGTATCAGCTGGAATCATGACTCAATCCACTACACCAATGATCACGAACACAACAGTGACTGCTACATCCCTAAAAGCACCTAATATTTTTTCGAAAATACCACCTAGCTCTTCAGCCAGTTTATTAGCTACTTCTGGCACTACTGTAGCCTCTAGGATTACTACAAAAGACACCGATTCTTTTGTTGCTGATTTGGAGTTTTATGTGGCTTCAGATTCAGTTCCTACTACCATAGACACACTCATGCTTGTGTCACACAAATCTTTATTTACACATGGAGCGACTCAGGCTTCACAGAGCACTAAAGAAACTCCAAAAATTTTATTCATGAAAACATCTGGTACTACAAGTCCATTATCACAGACGAAGAGTACCTTATTTACAGCTCCAGAAGTTAAATATGCAACTTCATTTGAAAGAACCATGGATATTTTAGAAAGTGGTCAGACTTTACATGAGCAAAGAAATGTTACCAAGACAAAGTCAACCACAACTGAGAAATCTTCCCTGCCTTCTTTGACTGTATCTGCAGTTCAGAGTTCACCGTTTTCAAGAAATACAACTTCAGTAAAAAACCTCTCTCTTTCTGGAGTCCCGGATGTAACATCATTAGCTTGGTCCAAAATCCCAACACATAAAACCATTAAACCTTATTTCAGTATGACAGAGCCCACAGACCTGCAGACAAGAACTAGAATAGATTTATCTCATACTAGTGGTGGAATGGCTCTGCCTTCCTCTTCAAAGCCTGTGAAAACACAAACTTACCTGGCAAGAACAGAAACAATGACAGCTGTAGCTGACAAGGCTTCCTTTGGTACAGTGATGCATACACTGATATCTACATCTTCTGAATGTGTGGTATGATCAGTTTTACTTGCCCCTATGCGTTAAAATATATATTGCTTTTCAGTCTGTTCTGTTATGCTATGTATGTAATACAAGAGATTTAAAATATCTCCTATTTTTGTTTTTATTTGTATGTTTTAAAATACTCAATTATTTTTAGGGAATTGTTGTATCCCTGCTCTTATACTACCCTGGAATATTCTGCAACTTGATGTATTGCTCTGGAAAAAAATGACTTTTAAAGCCATGTGCTGATTCTAGATAGATAAATACATCTCTGAGGTTCAGAAAAAGCCGTAATTAATGAAATTTTTGTTTTTCTTCATAATCTCACCTTGTCTTTCTGTTTTTCCCATTTGTTTCTTTGTCATAGGATTTAAAATTATGGAAATACGTGATTCTGTATATCTTAAATTCGGGGGGTTGGACTAGATGATTTCCAGAGGTCCCTTCCAACACCAACCAATCTGTGATTCTGTGATTAAAATGCTTCAGATTATTACTGAATATAACATGTAGCATCAGTGCATAATGCTTTACATAGAGTATTTCACCAAAGCTAGGTGGAACAGGGACAGTGTGGGTGAATGGACATGCACAAAAGCAATTCATGCCAAAATAACTGATGAGGGATCATGTAGATACGCTGATTCTGCCTCAGAGCAGGGTGATGAATGAGTGATCGCTTGGACTTCATACAGGCAATGAATGTAAAGTTGATTCTGGTTATTTTTTCCTTATATGACAGCCGAGGTACCTTGAACCTGTGGACAAATGCAGCCAGTATGTATGTGTTAATATGGGTTGGATGTTATATAATCTTTCAAGAAACTGCCCTAAGGATGTGCAGAAGCCAGACTGTGGTTTTCAAGGAATGCCAGTTCAAGTTAACACTGATAGTTGTTGTCCAGAATGGGAATGTCCCTGTAAGTCACTGTTTGATTTTTAAATACTACACAGAGCCTTGATCTGTAAGTTTCAAGTAATAAATTAAGGGTTTATTACAGTGGGAATATGAGGTTGAATACTGGAATGAATTTGAAGGGAGCTGTTCATGAGCAAAACAGAATGAAATATACTGAATGTTTTGGTATCTTTGAATTAATGTTGAAGAGAGTCAAAGTACTTTGTTCTGAATTAAAACACTGAAATGAAATCTGCAACACAAACATCAAAATTTTCCAACTGAGACTTTGCAGAATTTTTATCAGTATAAATGTTGAGATTTCAACATTTTGTGAAGAAAACAAATTAAAAACTAGCATTTTCTGGAAGACAGGGCCCCCAGATTGCAGTTAGCTCTAACTGCAGTCTTTATATATATTTAGAAACTGGCACGTGGCTATCTGCCAAGGGAACAAAAAGGCCAAAGAAAAGTCGTATTAAAAACCTTGCAGCATAACTGAAACCAATATCGCACTTTTAAATATTTGTCTCAAGACAGGACAGATAAGTCTCTTGTTATCAATATTTGAAAAATATGTATATTTTAATGCATATATTTTATCTCAAAATGTACAGATTAATTGGCTTGCCCATAAAACATTGATGTAAGCGAAAATTTACACCAATTTAAACTTTCCCCCCTACCCTGGGTACATAGCAGTAGGTTAAGGCATTTCCACTGAGTAATTTGCTTCTGCTTGTGCCTCAGTATGTTGTCTGCAGAACAAGGTTATCAATATACACATGAACGTATATATGATAGCAAATATTGATAAAACTGAAATTTTTTTGAAATGCCCTGTATTTGGTTTTGTGGTAACTTCATTAAATGACAGTTCTTTTTTAGGCCAATGTTCTGTACTGTCTGAACTGAGTGTTATTACATTTGATGGAAACAACATAGCCCTTTGTAATATGGCTTCCTACATTTTAGTCAAGTTACAAGGAGAAATTATTGTTGCTCATATTGAAAAGTGTCCTGCTAATCAGGTAAGATTCTTGCATTTCCACAAGAAATGTAATAGTTTATTGAATTTTTCTGCTATAGGTATGAAAGTCTGCAAAAATGTATCACTTACTACTTTCAGATAAAAGACATACCCATTAAAAAATGGCAAGTTATTTAATTTTCAAGGAGCATGCTTAATCATGCTGTCTAGATAAAATAATTATATCTCAGATTAAATAGTAATTGTTATGTTATAAGGAAATTCAAATTTAGGTTCCTTTTAAATTATTGGGGTGACATAACTTTTGAATCTCCATGTCTCCTTTCAGGTGATCCACCCACAAATCCCGAGGCCTTGAATTTATACTTTACAATATGCTCAAAATAATAAAATATTTTGAGTAATCACAAAAATATTTGTAGTTATTTTAGGAAGGTATTATTGAGTTTGGGTTTAGTGTGATGAGGGGTTCTTTGTAGGTGCATTGCCTAAAGAGGAGTTCCAGTCACTTTATTTTTAGACTGACAGTTTAGGTCAGGTCAGTCTCATCCTTAGAGTCTGTACATACATTTCCTTCACGTTGTCTGTAGCCCTAATTTGTGTAGCCCTTGAACAACTGGCTTGTATTTCCATCTTTGCTTTGTGGATAAACAAGTTCCTGATGAGAAACTTCATCAGAGTTCTTTCCTTCCCATCCCTGTTTGGTCTCTTACCCACTCTTACTGGGCAACTGTACACTTGATTTTTAAGTCCCGAGCCTTACACTGGTTTAGAGGTTATCTTTTAAATTGCTCTCTTCACTGTTTCTTGGTTGCATTCTATAAAGGTGTGAACACAGATCAGGTAGTTCGAATTCTATAGCTGTAGTTCTCCAAGAAATATTTTTAAGGGGCTTTGCAGCATATGCTGAATCTCATGATGCTGGTAATGAGTTGCTATCAATATTAAGCTGTTTAGTTAAAAGTCACCTGAGGTATGGTATATATGAGCTGCAATCTTGTGCAGAAATATGCCTTGGTAAAACAACAGTTTTATCAAAGTTAGGGCAGAGGATTTCATTGACATGACCATTTTATTTCTATGTGTTTTTAATTCAACTTGTTCAGGTAACTGTGTTATCTTTTCTGTATTATTTTCCACATAAACCCCTGCTCTGATTTAAATCTTTAACAAGTATATAAAGTTTCTAAAAACAGTTAATAAAAAGAGTCACTACATTAGCTGGGAAATATGTATTTTTATTATTTATAAGGAATATATTAAATTACTTTAATTATGAAGTTGGTTGTAGAAGAACTTCAAACGCAAAGAAAATGATCAACTTATTTTTGCCAAATAAGAATGCTGCTTATTATCATTACATTTCTAATCTATTTTTAATGTTTTCCAGAGTGCAAATTCAATAAGAAAGCTAGTGAGTACTTTTTCTTTTACTAATTATTAAATACACTAGTATTACACATATTGCAAAAATCCCCTATAGCACTGGTACAGAATTAGAAAAACAATAGTAACTAAACTTGTTTGTCACTTTTTCTTTCAAGGTTTCCCCTGCAAGCACTTCAGGGCTCTGTTTTAAGAAATTAAATGTAACAACATTCACAAATAAATTACTTATCAATCGTTTAGCGAGAAAAGTAAGTATATGTCACCAGTATTTAGCATGTGTACACTTAAAAGATAGCTGGAGAGCTATTCTGTTGTAGAATGCAATAGATAGATTTATAATGAACGTACTACACAATCAGGATTACTTTTGCATTTCAGGTTCCCAGTAATTCATGGTATGCTAGAAGCAAAAAATACACATTTCTGACACCATGCTTCATTTATATGTCATTTATACAAAATGACACTTCAAAGTTCTTCTGAGATTTTAAAGAAACTGCAAAAACATTTATACTTTAGAATATATTTTCAGAAAACCTAGAACCAATCAGAAATGTTCCAAGACATGATAAATACTTAAGCTGCCTTTCCTACTAGTCAGTAACAGATCAGAACAGATAACTTAGAATAATTGGGGTGAGGTGGTTTTGTTTTTGTTTTTTTTTTTTTTTATTGTATCATACTTGATAAATAAGATCTATTGCTTCCTTAATTAGAAAAGATTTCTGTGTCATTATTTTTTCTCATGCCTACTTCATTTGCAGTTATAGGAAATGGCACTGATGGGAAGCTCTGTGATTTAAGCACTGTATTATTGTATGTGGCAGAGGCTGTAAAAAATATCTTTTGCTATAAAATATAAAGGCATATAAAAGAAATCTTCACAATCTGTTTTATCCCTAAAATGTATTTGGTTTATTTTAGGTAGTCGTGGATTCTGTAATTCAATCATTACCGTTTTCAAAAGAAGGACTGAGTATTCAGGATACTGGCTCAATGTATGTCATTAATACCCCAGCTGGTATGAGCATCAAGTGGGCTCATGTTACAGGCATCATAGATATACAGTATGGATTACACTCTAACACATCGATGAAGACAGAAGGACTTTGTGGTGAGGCTATGGTGGTAATTTTTTTCTTATTTAATAACTTTCTGTTTAAAATTTACACCTCTCTTGTGTCTGTGACCTGCTGTCCCTATAGCTCTCCTTGTGACCTGCATTAACTACACTGACAATCCTATTTGAGGTGGGCTTGTGAAATTCTATTAATAAGAATAAATCAATAATTCTGTTTCAAAGCACTGCTTGCTAATAAAGTAGTTTGCAGAGTGAGTAATGATCAGTACATTTTATCTCATTAACTTTAAAAAAAATGTACTCATCTCTGCCTGTGTTTAAGAATATTGTTGAAGTCAAGTAAAGAAAAGGGGAAAATTTCCAATGGGGAGTGGCTTTTGAAGTTCATGTAGTGCCAGTATATTTCAGTGATTATGGGAGAGAAGAATAACTCTCAGATGTAAGCAGCGGGAGTTTATTGCTATGCAAATGCTGCTAGGTGTATCTTGGGAAAGGTCCAAGTACCCTGAGGTTAGTGAATCCAAATTCAGACATCTTAGAGTTGGATCTATGGTCCAAAACTGTGCTGAGATGTCTCAGACTTAAATTACAATGATAGTAAATTTAGCACATTTCAGGCTTCCTTGAGAGCCTTTTTAAAACTCTGACAGTAAAAATTATATGCAAGTGGGTATTTTAGAGTTATTTTAATTCTATCTATGTGGTAAATTTGCTTTATTTTTAAAGCTGTATTGTTTCTGCAATTCTGTAGTATGGACCTACAAATTCTAATGCCAGCACAGTTTGTAGGATGGCATTAAGACCGCAGCAAGAAGCAGAAGTGTTAAGAATACTGGAAAACAGTGCTACCGTCAAATGCTTCTTATCATGCAAATACCATATTCTGTGTTTCTCCATGCTGCCTGAGAGAGTAACAGCCTGTCACACCAGGCTAGGCCTGTTCTAACAAGAGACCTTGGAGAATATCAGGATGCAAGGCTGGAAGCATGAAGGCAAGGACTTAGGCTGTGGTTAGAAATGCGGAAGGAAAGTGAAAAAAGGATATAGGAACTTTGGCTGATAGTCTGTGGGATGTAAAACACTATTATGAATATAATCATTCTGACATTAATGACTTGTTATGTGCTTATAGGAAGTATATGTTTTCACTGATGAATGAATGAATACACACAATAATAAATTCAGATAGCCAATAGATGTCAAGGGTTTGGGTGGGACATTTTTTTCAGTGGTTTTGTAGTAATAAATTGACTAAGAAAAATATTTTCTCTAGAGAAAGCAATTTATTCATCAAAAGATTCCTTTCGTAACTTCTTGCATTTAGAATGTTCAGTTAAGTTTCAATGCAGTGTCAAATCATCAGCAATGAGCAGTTAATTTGAAAGCCATCTCCAATTACACCCATGGAGCTGATTGCTATTCAGGAGATTGAGATCAGAATCTGGTGCCATGTCAGTGAATTCGTTACACTCAACAGCACATTTTGGTGACAGTTTTTCTCAAAAGTTAATTAATTGTTGGGAAAAGTGTCATTACTTGTACGATCTACTTGTTTTGCTAAGCTATTGAGCTGACAACTAAAATCACAAGTAGAAAGTTTGAACTACAGTGGGCACATAGGTTGTTTCATTTATAAATTCAGATGACTAAGTCCCACAGGTGAGCCTGATGAGCAGATTAATCTTACCTTATCAGGTGCATTTTCCCAAAGGAAATAATGTGGCCTGTTTATTCATGCTTTGAATATGATGCTCTGTCTCCAGGGGTGTGTAATGGAGATCCTACTGATGACCTGAAAATGCAAAATGGGACCATAATTACAAATATGGAGGAAATTGAAGTGTTTATTCAGAGTTGGGAAATTGAGAAATCACTTGATGTAACAACCAGGAGGCCAGTAAGAAACTGTACTGAAGATAACTGCACATACTGCATGGAACTGTTAAACAGAAGCACTTTTATCCCTTGTCACAAGAAAGTGAGTATGAAAATCAGAGAAATTCCAGGTGCAAATTAAATAAAAGATGTATAGTTAAGAAAAGAGTGAGGGAGATATGCACATTTTTAATATTTTGTCTATTTTCATGAGTTGACAACTGGATGGGTGGCTTTACTACCTCTGTCATGATGGCTTTAATACTTTTGTATGTTGTAAACACACATCTATATGGATCCCTGTGCTATTATGCTGTATCTTAAATTATTTAGTAGGCAAAGGTCAAAGGAGAGACACCAGGTCATTATCTCAACACAAATGCATTCCAAAAGAGTTATTTTTAATAAATACTTGACAAAGGTCACTAAAATGAACTTATTGCTTCCACTGCATATAGCAACAACTCATGCAGTCTGAGACTGGGTGTACTAAATAAATTTCCAGCTAAACAAATCTTGACATAGCTGCTCTTACGTTGACAATTTGGTAGCATTTCTTACAGAAATTATTATCATTTGTTTCTGGACACTGTACTTTCTAATGGGGTTACAACTGTAGCATGCAGACTGCCACTAGAGGTGGGTAGTGCAACACAGCTGCTTCCGGGAATGGGAAATGAGGAAGCCTCTAATCTCTGAGGTCTGACTCACTTTTCCTACTTAAGTCAAAATAAAAAGGATTAATTACTCAAGTGGCCCTTTCTTTCTCAGTGATAGACATGTCCAGGTTCCTGATTCACTTCTTGCTGTTGTGCCCTTCCACTCTTGGTCTACATTGTGTTACTTTTTGGTAACACATTTGATTTTGATCATAGACAAATACTGCTAAAGGTATTGCAGACAGCTGAGCCCCTTCCTTCAAACTCCCAAGACTTCTCCTCACTTTCCCAGGTAGAAAAAAATGCAGGGAGTTCTTCTGAAAGGAAGAGGTTAAAGAGATTTAAAAAATAAAAAAAAAAAAAAAAAAAGATTAAAAAGATTAATAGATACTTGCCACAGAAACTTAATGGGAAGGAGCAATGGTAGGCAGTTTGGAATCAAGAAAGGAGAGTAGTACCACTGGGAAACAGGATGCTTTTCATAATTGTTTTAACTTATCTCATTTAAAAATAATTAAAGGGAATCTAAACAGTCAGAATTCCTACTTTATTTGTGTTTCCAGGAGAACTTTCATAGCCTGAGATACAATGCAATTGCATCTTTTCCTGGTTTACAGCAAAACCTGATGTAGCATCAAAATTGCCAAGCACTTGGTTCAACCATTATGAAATTTGTTTTCTATCATATATGTGATGGTGGCAGAGCCAGAGTGGATGGAGTGTATTGTGTGCTTCACAGGCATGAAGCAACTGGACAAGGATGGGCAATAGAGTCATTAGTGTAATGAAGTTTGTAGCAGAAGTGAGCGACTACTTGAAGATTTGCTGAAACCACAGGGAGAACTGGGCTGCAGCACAGTTGTGAACAGGCAGAATGAAACAAAATCTGACTTTTCCACCTTGTTATAAGTTTATGCAAATAAAAACAACAGAAATAAGATTGCACCACCTGCATTTAGACCCAGTAACACAGATTCTCGGGTCCTATAGACACAGAAACAGAGCACTCAGTAATATTTTTTTCACAGCAGGAAATTATGGAAGGTATAGCAACAATGTTTAGCTGAGATTGTTGACTTCTAACTGACAGGGCTACACTGCAACAGGTCTTGCGAGTACTGTTACAATCCCATGAGGACTGTGTTCTGTGCCTACTAATAAGCATAAAAAATCCTGGTTTAAATTTTGCAGAATTAGCGTCCTGAAAAAAAACAGTGTTTTTAACTTTAGACACGTGTGATTTTTTTTTTCCTTTACAGCTATTGTAACTAATTATTGTAACTAATGATTTATTTTAATTACAGAAAGGTCTTCTAATTGTTAATTCTCAACTGCAATATATTCCTAGGTGTCACCACAGGAGTTTTGTGAGAAGATGTGGATCAATAGTACTTATTTTTGGAATTATGAGTGTGATGCACTTTCTGCATATGTGGCTTTATGCAACAAGCACAACATCTGCGTTAAATGGAGGACACCCGGTTACTGTTGTAAGAAGATATCCATGTTTTATACACCAATGTGGCTTTATACACTAATGTGGCTTTATACTGCTGCAGTGTATAGTGATGAGTTAAAAATATACTTCTTTCTATTGTTATTGTAACTACTATGTCATTCTATTACAGCGTTAGTAAATCAGGTACAAGTTCTTAAGATGTATTGTTTTAGTCAAAGTGTCACAAATAATTTTTAATCTTGATTGAATGAGTTGCTTACCTAAAGTACTGTTAAAAATATAAATGCATATTTTCTGTGATACACTCAGTTAATCTTATTACCTGTTTATCCAATGAAATGCTGAAAGAATTAACAGCAGCACTTAATGTCCTCTTTTTATGACTTGCAGCATTGATTTGTCCTGAGGGCAAGGAATACCAGCCTTGTGTGCAACCCTGTGAAGCCAAGACATGCTTGAATAAATGGTTCTATGAAGATTCTCCCTGTTCCTATTTAAGGGAAGACTGTGTGTGTAAAAATGGCACTATTCTGCATAGAACAGACTCTGACCTCTGTATACCAGAAGAAAAATGTAGTAAGTGCAGCAAGACAGAGTGGTTTTGCAGATATGCCAATATTAACCACCGCTCAGTGTAAGCGGTTTTAGTTCTGTGTCAGTCCCCAGTAAGGTGAATCTGGTCCAACTCCCTTCAACAGAGCCTAGCTTTATCTCAAGCTACAGTAATTTTTGCTTTCTGTTCACTTGGATTCAAGACCCAGTGCTGATGTATTATGCTGGGAAAAAATGATGGTTGTTCTTCCATAGCTCCCAGGCTTTCTTTCCTGGAGTACTCAAGAAGGAATAGTATGGCAGGTTCTTTCCCTTGCACTCATTATTTATTTTCATCCACAGTGAAGCATTCGTTCATTTGAGATTTTTAAGGTAATGATCTTTTCTTGGATTCCTTGATCACAGTGCTCCACAGGACTCTTATTTTATGCAATGATTTGATGTAATTCATAGTTGCTTGCAGGCAATCTGTGCTCTCTATTTGTTCAAGGGATATGTTTTTTTCTTTCAGCATGTACAGATAACAAAGGACAACCCCGTTCTGCTGGGGAGATCTGGAATGGGTCCGTGAGAGGCTGTTGCATGTACAACTGTTTAGAAAATGGAAGCATTGTTGCTGTAGAACCTGAATGCAAGGAGGAACCACCGCTAGTTTGTGAAAGAGAAGGGGAAGTTATTGTCCATGTCATTGAAGAGAGAGCTTGCTGTCCGAAGAAAGTTTGTGGTATGTACCACACTTGTTTTCAGTAACACAAGTATAAGGTAAGTGCTTGACATTCACTGGCACGTGACAATATTTAGACAGGGTTCAAGGTTGCATTTTTAGAAGTAATTTTTAGGTACTTGTGGCTGGTTGGGCCAGCAAAGCAGGCTTCTTTTCTTCCTAAGTACTGACTCACTGAAATAGGTGGGGTTTTTTTCTTAAAAGTCCACTACAGAATCACAGAATTGCCTTAATTGGAAAAGACCTATAAGATCATAAATCCAGTAAGTCTATCATTAACCTAACACTGACAAGTCCCCTAAACCATGACTTGACCATGTCCCTAGGCACTATGTCTAGACAACTTAAATACCTCCAGGGATGGGGACTCCACCCTGCCCTGGGCAACACCTTCCAGTATCTGGTAACCCTTTCAGTAAAGAAATTCTTCCTAATATTCAATCTAAACTTCCCTTGGCACAGCTTGAGGCCATTTCCTACATAATCAGTCATTTCCTACAGATTACTACAGAATCAATCATTTCATACAGAATCACTAGTGAAACAAAACGTCTGTTAAAAATGGATTTTTAAGCTCTTGGGTGGAATTTCAAAAGGAATTGAGAAATACTTGATTATAGAAATACCTTGGTAATTGGGGCGGTCTTCAGAGCCTGTTCATTTTCTTATTAGTGCTTTGATGTGAAGAGCAGTATCTTCTCTACCACTGACCTACTGCTGTTTTCCAGCAGCAGTATACTATGAGCTGATCACTGAATACTAATATTGTCTAGCCATGGTTGTTAGAAAAAGGAATAAGCTTATTGCTCCTAAAATGTTAAGCCAAAGACTTATTTCTTCATAACATCTTCAAGGAAAATGAGAACAAATGGTCCAGCTGATATGGTTATTTTGCTCAATAGTTAGATACCTGTAACTGACACTGTATTGTCAATTTGTTTAGGTAGTATTTTCACTAGGACGTTTTAGCTGTGTAGGATGCAGAGCAAGTAAATATCTGCTTTAAGAGGGATACAACTGTGCTTGCACAGTGCCACAGGAATGGAGCTATATCAGCCCTGGATTGAGCTTGGAGGTCTACATGGTGGTATGGAGTACACTTTAAGCTGACTTGGGCTGCTCTTAGTTTGTGGATCTCTATACTAGACGGTATAGATATCTTTAGCTATAGGACTTGCACTTGTATCTGTTCAAATATGTCAAAATTGATTTTTTTTATTCCACAGAATGTAACATGTCATTGTGTGACACCATTATTCCAACATGCAAACCCAATGAAAAATTAGTGGTAGGCTACCACCCCCTGTCCTGCTGTCCACAGTACCGATGTGGTAAGGGAAATATAAAAACACAGTTACTGGGACGTTTTCCACATTTGTATAATGTGTAAGAAATTTTGCCTTTCAAGTTGTTTTGATTGTTAATAGAACGGGACATTGTAAGTAGTACCAGGCAATGATGTGGTTTTTTTAACACTCTCCAATATTTCTGGGGGTTTGTGTTTGTGTTTTGCATCACTTTCGATTTACAGTCAGTTTGGGGTATTTTATTTTATTAAGTAGATGAAGAATATATTTTCTTTATCTTTTTAGTATTGTTTGTGACTCTTTTAAAAATACTGTTTATTTCACATCCTACAGAATGTGATCCTTCAGTCTGTTTCAATGCTTCCCAGCTGAACTGCAGAGAAGATCAATTTATTGTTGAAGCAAAACAGGAAGATCCCTGTTGTTTCTCTTATCTCTGTAGTAAGAAGCCTCTAATGTTTTTATGGATAATTAAGGAATAGCTAAGTATTTGCAAAAACGGTCTATTGTTCTAAACCTAATAACTTAAGCCAGGAATTCTTGGAAATGTCAGTGGGATTTCACACAGGTCAGGCCAACTGGAGCATGAATTATTATGTCCTTTGGTTTTGGAATCTTTTATTTACAACATAATTTTGAACATCATACTTGAAGTTTGTTATGTTTTTTTATTTAAATGTCAATACATAAAAGCTCTGTTATCCAAGTAACAAACATAATACACCTTGTTATATAATCTACTAAATAGAATTCACGTGATAACTTTTTAGTATTTAAAACTTTGTAAATGTCTGATTTTTTTCAATTTAGTTTGTGAATCCTGTATTGAGCCTGTTCCCTTGTGTGATGAAGGGGAAATTCTCACTGTAGATCTTAATACCATACATTACTGTTGTCCTCATTACTACTGTGGTGAGTGTAACTGTTGTCAGTTCAATTCATTGCCAGCTTTAGTAAAAATGACAGACTGTGTGTGTGTGGACATTTTTTTGATTCAGCATTTAGGGTGGGCTTCAGATAGAGATTAAGAGATCTAAATGAGGGTGTCTGTATTTGAGGTAGGTTCAGAGTTCTTGGTATACACAGTGGTGATCTAACCAACCCAGCCAATGGAGTCTGGAGAGTTATTTAGTTCACCAGACAGCATATAGCTAACTTTCAGGGTGATAGAAATACAGATATTTTAATGTGGAAGTGAATCCCATTCTTGGAGTATAAATATACAATTATTCATATTTTAAAATATCTGTAGTAAAACAACTTCCATGTTGTTCCTCTGCTGCACCATTCCTTAGTATTTAGGGAGTTTCTTTGCACTTTTAGCTTTTAAAGGAAGGAGTAGGTCAAGGGTTTCAAATACTGAGGGGTTGACTACTATTCAAACAATGAGCAGCCAGTAGAAAAATATTTGCAGTGTAATGTGGCCTCAGAAAACACAGAAATTGTGCTATATGTTCTTAAATAATGTCTACAAGTGTAACTGCTTAATTTAGATTAACTTTTGTCCTATTGCTGTTGAGTAATTTCAATTAATTAAATTATCTTCCAGTAAGTTTGGAGCTTAGTAGTTTTTACTTCAGGTGGTTCCATATTTTGGTCCTTTCGTTTTCTGATCACTTGCACTAACTGAAAGTTTCTGAAAAGGTATTTGGCACTGTTTTTGCCAAATTCTGGCAGGTAGAAGGTTAGATCTTAGTATGTGCTCTTCTTTCAGAGTCCCAGAAAGCCACCGCAAATAAGACAGGTATTTTCTTATTTGAGTCATCCCAGGAGGGAATTTGCTTCCTGTAACCTTACAGAAATGTGGTTTACAGCACATTTGCAGCTGAGAGGAAAAAAAACCAAAAACAAAACCACCAAGTTTTCCAAAAGCTGTGATTTTAGTTGACTTTGGTACTGGTTATCAGCTTGAGTGACTCTGAAGTAGGCAGAATATTAAATGATTCCTGTGTGATGTTTTCTGAAAAAACATATTCTAAGGCAATGAAAAGATTTTTCAGATCATATAATTCAGATGTTTAAGAAACACAATAAAAAATTATTAAAATATCATTATTTTTAAATTAGTTAATCAAGAATAATGTAAGCTGGAAAATTCAAAGGCAATTTAAATTCTCATATGTGTCTTTTCCCACCATTTAGTTTGTGATGAAAATCTTTGTTCTGAGCCTCCTATGAATTGCACAGGTGACATGACACTTGTGAAGGAAAAAATACCCGGGCAGTGTTGTCCAGAATGGCACTGTGGTAATTATTGCTTTATTGCTTAGTCACGGCTGTTAACAAAAGCTAACAATTAGCTAACTGACTAATACAGGTTTTTTGTTCTCTTCTCAGAATGTAACTGTGAAAACACTACTATGCTGACCTGTAAATTGGTAAGCACTGTCCTTTAGATATGTTTATTAAAGGTGTTCAAAGCTCTTACTCTTCCCTCTCCATTCCTGTTTCAATTAGTTGTAAAGGGTGATGAGACTGAACAGGGACAGGCTGCGACTGTCTCCTAGTCCCCAGCTCAAGCATGTAACTCCATCAAGTGACTGCATAGTGTTGTCAGCTATTCCTTGGGGTAATTTCACTGTGTATTTTAAGATGTTGAAGAAAAGCAACTGTAATATTATTCTGTTCGATGTTGACTTGAAACAATATGCTGGGAAGGTTTTCCATGCAAATAATTCCCAATTGTTCTTAATAATTAATAAGGAATGGTCTTTATGATCACATGTATCATCTGGAGAAATGTGTTATTTTGTTAATCATTTATGCTTTTGGTTAAAATGATTTCACATTACTGAATTTAGCTGATATGAGAAGTCATAAATATTTTGCTTCTCACATGTTTTCTTGAAAAAGGGATTGTGATCTGGAAAATAATTATGCAGGAATGTTCAAACTCCCATTATTACTATAGTGAGACTGATATTTTCCCTATCAAATGCTCGCAGCTTGTCTTTCTCTCCCCCTTATGTGAAGACTGCATAATGTAAAGTCTAAACAGGAGTTGTAAATTTGAATAGCTTTCACATATTTTTTGGAAGAAAATTCATAGAAGGCTTTTTTTTTTTTTTTTTGCAAATATGTTTATCATTAAAATAACTTCATATCTCAGGAAAAACTGCTGTTTAGCACATGCCTTCCTAGAGAAAATGAAGAGCTTTGCTCATGTTTAAAGAGATGAATACATTGAATAACTCTGAATGTGCTACTGTTTCTTGAGCACATTGTGATTTTTCTCCTTTATCAAAGCAAGGATGGAAGTGATGAAAGTAATATTTTACATTTTCAGAGAAAAATTGTCTGTTTAGCACTACATTTAATTGTGCATGACTTTGCAAACTCTTTTATCTTTTTATACTCAGGGAGAAGTTAAAAAAATAGATAGTAGTGTTTCCAGTGCTTGTGGATGTACTCACTACATTTGTGGTAACTTTTTCCTGTTCCTAGCTGGTTTTTTTTTAGTATTTAGTAAAAAGGGCATGCAAAGAAAGGAGAAATAGGACCATAATAACCTTCTCAAACATAAACACTCTTTTATCTTGATTTTATGTTGCCTAGTTACACAATTATGCTCTCTTTTCTGAACATGATGCTTTGTCTGCTAACCCATCAATTTTGTGTCTGTTCTGGTGGGGTGTAGGAGTGTTATAAAACTGCCTGTGCTTTCAGAGTCAGGTAAAGTATCTCTGGTGAGAGGCAGATAGGAGGCAAGTTGTAAACCTTAGCTGAGTGTGAGCTGTGGGACTGCTTCTAGTCCACTGCTGAGCACCAATGAGACAACATCTCACCAGAGCAACAGACCTGGCCAGACGGCACGAGGGTATGTACCCAGTCTTAAGATCAGACCTCTGCTCCCTTCCCCCACTCAGCTACCCTGTGTAGACTAGACTTCAGCTGTGCTGCACATGGGGTGCTTGAGGTACGTTGCAATCCTGATTGCAGCCCAGGCTAAGCTGCCTCCAGAAACAAAGCACACATTTACAGTACAGCTTGAGCATACTGCTGCCCCACAGGTAATTGTAGACATACTAGTTTAATTGACAGAAAGGCTACCTTTTGTGATGTGCAGAATAATTCATATAGTGTACTTAACCCGATGTTAAATATTAGAATTCTTTAAAAATAAGAACAACAGATTTTTTTTTTTTTTTTTTTTTTTTTTTTTTACTTCCATAGTAGGAACACTATCAATTTTAGGCAGGTTTGCATTTTGTAGCATTTTGTTAAGCTGAATTATATGTCCTTCCCCCACCCTGTTTGATAATTAAAACCACAAACTAATCAAGTCTAAAAGTTAGAATACTTTTGCAGAGCATAGGAATTTGTCCTAGTTTTCTCTTCACAGTGATTCTGTTAATTTGCTTGGTGATTTGCCCCCCCCCACCTTCTGGTAACAATTATTTCTTTTGGTGTTAGAGAAGGATGATGTGTGCATCTTCCAAGAGATCACAGTGCTGAATCCTGGACAGTCAGTGATTCAGTACTTGGATGGAGACCTTTGTTACACTGTACAGTGTTTACAAGAAAAAGATCAGACCACAGGATACAATGCCATGCATTTTACAATGGTGAACTGTTCCCAGCAATGTGAAGCTGTGAGTATTAAAATACAGGAATGATGCAATTTGTGAGCACAACTATACAATTACGATAAAAGTTAAAGTGATGACTTTTACTAGTCATGTTTGCTCAGCAAGAACTTGAGTGATGATGTATGTCCCCAGGATTATTTTGAGAGGAAATTTCTAGGACCATACATAAACATATCCATCCATCCATCCGTATATTGTTTCTCTTCGTATTTTAGTTGCAGAAATCAATGAATTTTCATACACTGCATGTTTAAAAAAATACTTGTTTTTTTTCTTTTTTTGCTTTCCTTTCTTTCCAGCATCAAATATATATTCCTTCCTCCAGTCACCATACTTGTTGTGGCACCTGTCAAAACGTGTCCTGTTCTTTTCATACTGATAATGGAACTCTAACTGTATATGAGGTAAGTGCCTCTGGACAGAGATAGAAAATAACTATAATGATATGATAAACAGTTGTCTGTCAGTCACTTCTCCATTAACTCATGCTGTGAGTCTTGCTTCATACCTCCTTACTGCTGGTTACGCACTTAGGGACTATTTTTGGTATATGATGGGAAAAAGTGTGTTTATTTAAAGTCCTGCCATTTCATACTAAGTTAATACCTTATTAGATTTTATTGGTTGTCATATTTTATAGAATCATAGAATGGTTAGGG